AATATTGATGATTTGAGAACTCGTAGGAAAGATCAGTTCATAATAAACTTTTCTTGAGGTTATGTTTGACCTCAGGGAAGGTAAATAGTTGCAGGTACAACCTGTCGATATACGAAACGGCGGAGAAGACCAATCAACAGCAACAGATCATGCCATGATGACAACCGAGCTTTCCATTCAAAGATGCATGATGCCAAGAGAGAAGGATGCCATTCCTGAGTCACAGTACACTGGGAAGTCACAGAGAGTTAGCATTATAGTACATTGAGGTTACTAGCCGAGATACAGATATGATCAGCCATACAGACTACGTCGACCGCAGGTGCAATGTTTGCCAGGTGCGGTATGCAGGCGTGCCGCACTCATTTGATGAGGAGCAGGTATGCCGCATTACAATGTACCGCGAACGATGTGCCACGTATCGAGTAGACATTCGCGAAAGGTAGTTGCCAGGATTGCTAGTTACCCTCATTTGTTCATGTGCATATCTCTGAAATTTTCCAGGAGTACCAACGACTAGGATTTACTACAACCGACGTTCAGACCGAAGATCAACAATCGGCCAGGAGATGAAGACCAGTACGCTTAAGAATTATGTTTTTAATGTCAAGTATAATAAATGGAACACTTCATCTTATAGAAGTGTCCCGTTTCAGTCAGTGTTAATCATCAACTCACCTAATTGTGAATTGTTGATTTCTCAGTTAAGACCAAGTATAATGTTCAGTATTTAATACTGAATCCTCAAGTCATGTCAGCAATAAGTATAAGCTTCATGTTAAGCTTGTAAATTTCAGTTTTAGTATTTCTGAGGACGGAAATATTTTAAGGAGGGTGGGTTGTTATACCCCGAGTTTTATTAATAAAGGAAAATACTAGCTTTTAATTTTAAAGCTAGCCTTTATTAATAAATAATCATGTTCACGTTTAAATTCGAGTTATTCAGCTAGTTAAGTTCCAAGTTCGACTATTAGTCGATAAGTTTTCAGATTTAATTCTGATTCATTTAATTAGTTAATGAGTTCGGAATTAAAAAGCCAAGTTGACGAACTATTCGAAATATTAATGTTCGGATTAATCGTCGAAGTTAAGAATATTCGAATTATGTTCCGAGGTCAAGTTATAACTGAAAATGAGTACGTTCGATTAAGGTTACCATATATGAACGTCGTCATTCCTATACAGCGACGCGTTCGCATTGGTACACCGTCCATCGTTATTTGAGTAATGTCATTAACCTTTGCTTAATTAACTTAATCCATGTTTAAGCTAATTAATCATAATTAGCTTAAATATAATCATGATTAGCTTAATGTTAATGATGATTAATTAACACTAATAAGGATTAATTTAAGTTTAATCATGTCTAAGCATGCCCTAATTATCATGTAATGTCAAGTATCAAGTATTAATTAAGCTTAAGCATGGTCCAAGTATGCTTACGTCCGGCGTTAGCATCATTGTGCTTAGTATGTCCCTAGCACACGTTTAACGTGCCTAAGCCGTGCTTGGCACAACTAACGACCGAAGGTTAGGGCCTCAATTCTTTTCACGTGCAAAGGCATCATTTCATTTACCACATGGAGGTTGGAGAGGACTTTAGGTGGTGACTAAGCCAAGTCAAGGATGAGTAAGCATCTTGAGGCCACCTCGCACCCTACACGCTCGGCAAGTGGCGCACGGCCATTGGCCGTGAGTTTCTCCCCAATCTTCACCAACGTTTACCCCTTATAAAATCAGATAATTGGGGGAAAATGTTTAGTTATTACACCAGCTTTCACTAAGCAAATACTAAGTGAGATTGGGATCATTTTCATGCTCGCACACACGGTAGTGAGGATTCATGGCCGTTCTTGTGATTTTAGCCGAGCAATTAGGAAGGTAACTTCATGTTCAGCATCTTTTCATGTTAATTAGAGCATGTTAAGTTCAGTTTATTGAGTTCATGTCAAGAAATGCAAGGGAAGGTCATGAAGGGTTCGGTTTTGGCCATATTGGGCCGTAATCGAGTTATGTTCAATTTTATCCGACAACTCCCGAACAATTCATGTCTATTTGATCATTTTATGTCAGTTTATAGTCAGTCAAGTCATGATGTCCGAGAGAAATTGAGTTTTGCACGGGTAATAATAAAGATTCGAATTTTTTAAGTTAATCGGCTTAAAAACGGAATTTTTAGTTCCAAGCATGTTTTGGCAAGGGTTAATAGCTTAAAAATCATGATAAATCATATATTAAAGGACTGTTAAGTTTCAACAAGTTTCGAGTTGAAATGCTCGGTTAAGTTGATCGTGATTTTAGCCTATTTTTACTTCCGAACCATCTTTAAAGCTAACCGAACACTCCCGAGTAATTTATGTGTATTTGGTCATTATATGTTATGTTAAGTCCAACTAAGTCATAGTTGCCGGAAAAAGTAGTCGGACGGCCGGCGAAAGGCCGACCGTAGTGTCTGCCCGCACACAGCGTGCGCGCAG